CAGATGCAGTATTTCCCTGCTGAGGGCCGATTTGACAAGATGTACTTCCCTTACTATGGCAAGAAAGCACATGTGAGTACCACAGTCAGATGTACCAGCGCTGATCCTGGATACTAACACTGTCAGTACCCATAATAATGGGTTATCTGAAATGTCAGTATGTTCTGATATTGCATTAATTCCATCTCATGTAGTGTTAAAATCTGTCAATTTGCATTGTTCGGCTTGAGCTCATTCAGGTTTGTTTATGAAGACTCCTGTAACTACTAGTGCTAAAAAAACAAGCAATTCTGAGAAATCAGTAAATGTGGACAAGGCTAAAAAACATATTTTATGTGATATTTTTATTATTTAACGGCACAGGTATTTTATACTAACATCCAGCATATCTAGGACAGTTTCCATTTGTGCCAGAGGGGGGTGACAAAGCCCAAGGCCTTTTCTCACTGAGTCAGAAGTTTACAGTCCAAAATGCTCATGATTTTGTTGGCTCCTTTTAATGCCCCAAGCTAAAGCCACTGAAGCAGAAGCTCAAACTCCTACACACACAGCACAGCTACATAGCTTCAGTGAGCCTATGTTAGTGTCTCTTTGAAAAATCATAGCTCCATGGTTTCTTTTTTTTCTTCCTTCTTCTTTGCACAAGTGTTAACAAAGCAGCACATTGGAGTGGAAGTTTCAGTGCATTTAAAAAATGCATCCACTTTTTTCATCCATAATAACATTGTTTGAAGACTTCATGATGACTAAACAGTAAACTAACATTAAGCATGAAAAATACTGTTTCTGATGGCCTTCCCTGTGTAGCCATGTGACACGTTTCCCTTGGTGTGTCTCACTGCTGTGTTAGTAAATGAGGTAAATATATGAAAGGTTTCATACCAAAATGATACACATCCCTGTAATATCCAGGTGATAATAATGTGATGAAGCCTACTCTCAACACTGTATGTCCAAAAAAAAAAAATCTGATATTATGGTGGAATTTTTCATATTGTCCCATCCCTGATGATGACAATCAGCAGATAACCTATTTGAGATTTGGTGCCTGGATTTGGTATCAGCACTGGAAAAGATGATATGGGTGCAGCTGTAGTCAGATAGCCGCTTGAAACTGCAAATGTAGGCCTGATGATCGTAGTCATGTAATGTCTGTGGATCAGGGCAGTGGTCAGTGGTCACTGTCCTCCTGTAGATCTGCTTTACTGCAGAGTTCAATTCCGACCTGTGTCCAACATGCCCTCCCACCGCACAACACTAATGCATCTGATCCAGCTGTCAAGGACTTCTGAAGGGGTAATTTAGCTGGAGCAATTGTGGCAGATTGTGGAATTGTAGGGTGCAGATTTTTTAATGGTTCTTCTGTCTTCTTTTCCAGCCTAATTATGTTCAGCCTGTGGTGGCAGTGAAGCTGCTGCTGAATGAGCAGGACTATGACACGTACCTGACCATCGAGTGCAAGGTGGAAGGCTCGGACCTGCGCAACAACGACGACCGTGACAAGTTCCTGGGCCGAGTCACTTTCCGTGTCCACGTAACCAAGTAGCCCTGATCACTCACAGGAGCTGCACGATGTCCATCACTCACATTCAAACCCCACACCTCTCTTCTCATACATGCTTACCTGAGGCACACCCGTGCTCCTCCCATGTCGATCTACCTTCCAACACCTTAAGGGAGATTGACTTTACTGTACTGTACTGTACTGTACAATAGAGGTAGGTTCAGAGTGGGGCAATGGGCTGCTCTTAAAATAGTGTGTGAGGGGCAACGTAATATACATAATCTAGATATTAATTTAACACCTCTTCACTTATACCCACAAACCCTTTCACTGGGGAAAAAATACAAGTAAACTCACATTGAACCTCCTCAAAGCCATCTCCGTAAGACACAAAGCTTGTGACATCGTGCAGTAAGCAGGGACCTGTAAATAGATGTGTCGGAGCATCAAGTTGGTGTCTATTCCCTCCTATAGTGCTGTGCAGCCTGCTGTGTGTATGTCTGAAAGTGAGAGAGAGCGAGAGAGAATGTGTGTATGTATGTGTGCCATGATGTGAAGTCTCTCTGTACATATTTAATGGATTTAAAGACACTTTTTTTCCTGTTATCACTCACTATGTCTGACCGCTGTAATAAATCAAGGTTATGATATTATTATATATAGATATATATAAAAGAACTGTAATTTAAGATTTTTGAGAAATGTTATTAAGGAGAGGGGAGGAAGACAAACACCAAAAATGTCTATCAACCTTGTGTTCAAATCCATCTGCCATATGAGGGAAGTGATTTTTTTTTAAACCTCTGCAGAAACTGTACTTTGTGCAGATGCCTTAAGATCTGTATGAAAAACTTAAAATAAAGGAGATTTTAAACATGTGTACAGTTGTGGTATTTGCTAGTTCAGTGCTTAGTTTCAGGCTGAGTTTTGCCAGTAGGTGGCACCAGAAAACCTCCAGCAAAACTAATCTGTGTAACCTTCATTGCTGTCCAGCCAGTCACATCCAGCTCAGAAAATGTGTGACATGTTGACCCCTACAGACAGATCTGTCTCTTATTTTGTTTCCCAAGTCTGGCTCTGGAGCCCCTCTTGGGACTTGCACAATTATCCTCTTACCACAGTCATAGCTCATAAAGATGTGCTTGATGTCCAGAGTTTGCTTTTTAGGTTTTCACTGGATCTTGTAGCCTTGTAGTTAAAAAGTAATGGAAATTTGTCATCCATAATCTTTGAGTAACACACTTCTGTTATAGTCTTGTACTGCTACAGCAAAAATAAAGGATCAAACATGTCTTGGGCGAGCAATTGCGTTTGTTTGAGGGATGAATTTGTGTAATTTATTTTTTCCCCCCAATCATTTCATTCAAATCATAAAGGTCTTGGACATGACTCTGGTGTAATAGAGCAGAGAAAGCACAAAACTGTGATTGCTTTATTCCATAACATCTCCAGAGGCTGTAAAAGCATCTTTCAATCAAAAATCACACTTTATCAGGACCTGGAGCTCTGAACTGATACAGGGGTTTCTCGGTCCAGTGGATCCAATGGTTTTTTTCTGTTCTGATGTTACTCTGAAAAAGTGGTTGTGTTGACTAAAGTATCCAATGCATTTCAGTTATTAAAGTGAATACGAAAGGATATCTTTGAAAAGTATACACTGTGGGTGACTGGGGTATGTCTTCACTCACTGAAGTGAGGCCAAAATGTGGCATTTACAAGCATCCTTCAGAACTGGGTGTGGAAAAAATAGCAGAAGCCACACTGAACACTGTGCACACTAGAAACACTCAGAGGAAAGGTGTGTCTAGACAGTAACTTCTCATCTTGTCATGAGAACGTCAGTGCAGGACGTGACCAGGCTGTGTCAGCAAGAAAAGTCTGATAACATCTACAGAGATTACAGATTACAAACCCCTAATTACAGAGACAAATGCACATTTGATAGTTCAGTGGTGCAAAACCCTTTAGGCACTGCCTCTACAGAGATGTGGAGAAAGGGCAGAGTAGTTTTCCCATATTCCTACTGAATGGACGAGAGCATGTGTGGCGTACGCCAAGAGAACCATACAGGCTTGAGCATACAAATGCTTGAGCTTGACCCCTGCATTGGGGTAATCTGATGGCTCTGTTATGCTCTTGGGGGATATTGCTGTTATAGCTTGGCCCAACACGTTATAAAGACACTATTTTTTTTTTCCTTTAGTTTGTAATCAGTTTGTATTTTCTAACGTTCCCTGATAGAGTTTATTAGGCTGGCTAATTGTTGCACTGAGTAAAGGTGGTTAAAAAAAGTACTTAATCTTGCATGTCAGTAGCTACAAACGATACAATAAACATTTTACAATATGGGCCCTTCAAGAGCTCGTATTTAATATCTGAAGTGAACGCAAATATAATAATCAAATGCATTGCAAATTGCCTGTTGATTTATCTCTCAAAGTGATGAAAGACAGGCTCTGTATTTACTTATAGTAAAAACCTTGAAAGGCTTTATGGTCTGCAGGCGACCCACTGCTGCAGCATGGATGGGAAAATAAATGCGGAGCCTCTTTTGTGCGCTCAGCCTTATTTACAATACAGTGTTTGTTTGCTTAAACAAACAAACAGTAATTTTACCGTGTTTGTGTTTATGCAACAGGGTTATCACCACAAACTTGTTTTTGTCACTGATTGTACTACTTAAAACAATGATTTTTTTAGGACTTTGGACTGGTCCTAGGATGCATAGATTATAGCTGTAAAAATGATAAGTCCAAAACTAGGCTTAATCTGTCTTCAGGAAAACTTGAATTACTATGATACTAGAACAATTTTACATGTAACACATCCATACAAAGATTTTCTTTTAAAATAACTAAAATAGAAGTCAACCTGACTTACAAAGAAGAAGTTAAAAATTTAAAAGTACTGTTTGGAGTCAGTTTAGTCTGAGTTAGTTTACTACACACCAAAACAAAATAGTTCTTAGGAATCTGATGTGGACTTTTTCTTTGGACCTTTCTCAAGAACAAATTTAACAAAAAACAATTAAAAGATATTGGCGAGTAAGTCCCAAAATTCTAGAGCTTTTATCGGTGTCATAAGTTGTGATCTATGATCTTCCATTTTTTGTAAGATCACAGTTTCGATTACTGCAGTGAGGATACAACCTGGAAAACGACTTGAACAGTAAACTTACTCAACCACAACAACCACCATCCTACACTGGGTACATGTAATGTTTATGTGCACCTTTGGATTTCTGCTAACAGAAGCAGAGCTTGAGTTGTGTTTTATCATTTGCAGTGTTTGTTTGAAATTCCTTTCAGTTCTTGATTTGCTTTCAGCTATTAATCTCACCTTGTGCTGATAACAGATACATTAGTGCAGTGAGTCTAGAGCTGATACAACCCCCAGACAATCAGGCGCTACAAATGGAAGTGGCCTGACCAGGTGGTTAAAAAGTGCTGCTGATAAAGTCTGTCACCTGAAGGTGACCCATGGTAAAAATACTGCTTCTCCTTTGTGGCTAGATTATACTGTGAAATGAGGCAGTGGGGTTTGATTTGAATTCCATAAGGCTGGTCATGGATCAGAGCAGTTGTAGTTGAAGACAAGGTGAGAGCAACTCTTATCTCTGAGCTGCGAGAGACTTTTGGCTGATAACCTAATTTAGCAGAGGGTCCAGCCACTGTAGCCACCTCAAGGAACACAAACAACTGGAGGAGTCCAGCCTGACTGGACATAATTCTCTTTTTCCAAGCTAGAGAAAAACATTTTGGCCTTGACCGCTGTCATCTGACCATGCTGAACTGCTTTGCTTCTCCATTTTTATAAGGAGGTATGTTTTTATTAGAGCTAGCCCAACCTGTCTTTCTTAGACTGATCTGGCTGTTTTAGCTCTTTCTAATTTCTGCTTACATTACAGCAGAAAGTCAAACCTATTAGGCGATCACTGCTTGTTTTGGGTCAGATGGACAGACGCAGCAGTCTGGAGTCACTGGAGGAGCAACTGCGTTGCCCTGTGTGTCTGGAGGTTTTCTCTGAGCCTCTCATGCTGCAGTGTGGTCACTCATATTGCCGTGGCTGTGTCCGCTCTATCGGCATGGACCCTCTGGGCCAGCTCCAGTGTCCAGTGTGCCGCTGTGCAGTGGATGGGGACAGTCCTCCCCCCAACGTGGCGCTGGCACGCATTGTGGATGCCCTACGGGAGATCAGTGACCCAGGCCAGGGCCCTCCTGAGACCTGCAGCCAGCACCATAACCCCCTGAGCCTGTACTGCGAGGAGGACCAGGCGCTCATCTGCGGTCTGTGCGGCAGCATTGGAGGACACCGCTCCCACAAAGTCACCCCAATCAGCAGCGTCTACAGCCGCATGAAGGTACACAACCTGCTGCTTTTGTGAGAAAAGTGATTAGGTGTTTTTTTGTTTGTTTTTTTAATCTTAGAAAAGGCTAGGAGACTAGAAGTCTTCTTTAACGTTATTTTCGGAGCTCCCTTTGGGACCCATATAAAATATGTTCCGATTCTACAGTGCTTGCCCTTTATTTGGGAACAGTAAATCTATACACAGTAATTAGGAAGAATTTGCAGTGTCTCTGTAGGCCTGTACTCTCATACGCACGCCTTTAATGGGAGCTGAAACAGAATATTAAACAGTGTTCAGTAGAAAGAAGACAGGATTTTGTTGCCTTGTCACAGGCACAGCCATAATAGAATTTTCTGGGGTTAAATTCAATTTCCTTTCATTATGTGTTCACACTGCATCCATAAAACATTACTGAATGCAATTATGGATTGCAAAACACAAAGTGAGATGCAGCACATTGTAGTCCAGCACTGTGCATTTTATATTTTCACAGGAGGACATTTCAGGTCTGATGACCGAGTTTCAGACTCAGAAGAGGAAGCTGGAAGAGCAGACTTGTAAAATGGCGTACAACAAGTCTCGCATTACTGTGAGTTAACTTCATTACTGCAAACAAAGATATGCAGAGAAAATGTGGTCAGCTCCATTCATTCAACCTTTTAAAGATGTGGTCAAGTAGCTGAATCTTACTGAAAAATCTAACTTCTAATTAAAGTAAATGTCTAACAAAAACCCTTATCAGTTAATATCTGTTAGACGTCACCTCCTTGCCAGCAACCCATTTGAAAGGCATGCTAGAAGAGCGCCTTGTGTTTAATCAAATAACAAACGTAAGCAGCTGGACTTTGCTAGACGCTACTGGAACGTCTACTGAAACTGGGTTCTCTGGTTAGAAGAGACAAAAATAGAGCTTTTTGCTTACAAACACTCATAAAAAAGGCTAGTTATACAGAAAAGAAGCTCTTCCCCACTGTTAAGTATGATGCAGGATCAGTGACGTTTTGTGGCTGATTTTCCTCCAAACTCCCTGGGAACTGTGATAAGATATTTGGCATCATGGACTCCATGAAGTACCAGAAGATTTTAAATGAAATTCTGGCTGTATCTGCCAAAAAGCTAAAACTGGGTTGTGGTTGGATCCTCCAGCATGATAATGATCCAAAACATTCGTCCAAATCCACATAAAACGGCTCAGTAACTACAGGATCAAGCTTTTGACATGGCAATCCAGTTTCCTCGACTTAAACTCCACTGAAAATGTGTGGAGTGAGCTGAAGAGGAGAAAGAGAGGATCTAGAGAAATTCCGTGTTGATGAGTGGTCGCAGGGTCCTTACTCTGTATTCTCATTGCTCTTGCTCTGCAGTCTCATTAAGTATCGTTGGTGAAGACTCATTGCTGTTATTTTGGAAAAAGGAGGTTGCATTAGGTACTAAATGCAGGGAGCCAACAATTGTGACACACATGCTCTTATTAAATAGATTTTTTTTCTCATATTTTCAATGTGAGATTGTGCTAACCTCAAATAAATGACCATTTTACCAAGGGTGCCAATTATTATGGAACTGTATTGTACTGGACTGTAAGCTGATGGTGATATGTGTGTGTGTGTGCACAGAATGAGTCAGACGTGTTGAAGTGGGTGGTACGGAAGGAGTTTGGTGAGTTGCGGCGCTGTCTGGAACTGGAGGAGGCCCGCTTCATGCAGAAGGTGGAGAGCACCGCCTCCACTCTCATCTCCTCCATCCAGGCCCAGGCTGACCACATGAGCCAATTACTGGCCAAGTTCCAGGAAGCCGAAGGCACACTAGAAGCCCTGAGCAACGAAGGCCATCTGGACTTTATCACTGTGAGTGAAGGGAGGGGCGGGGAGTATGTGAGACAGAGGAGCTATATGTGATAGAAAAAAACATTTGGTTTTTTATGGTGTGGTGATCTGGACTGTGGAGCTGTGTTCATAAACCATTGCACCAAACGGAGTTGTATAAATGGGTCAGAATAGCCAGCCAGTATCCGCATGGCCAAAGAAAAATTTGGTTCTGTGCTAGCATTTCTCCTAAAAGATTCTTTATGAATATCTCAGGTAGTTAAAAATGAAACTGACACTGAATAGTAATCCCTTATACCCTTACAGAGAGCCATTACAGCATGAATAAACACCACAACAGCTCCTCCTTCAAACATATCATAGAACAGTATATGATAACATATACAGTACGGTGCCAAAATCAGAGACTGCCCTTCATTTATTGGGTTTCCTGCCAAAACAGCATCACAAAAAGACAAACATATGTTTAACAGAAGATTACATACAGGCCTCACCAACTAAATATCATAGAAAACTTTTAAATATTTTTCTGCTTCTCATGATCCAAATAATCCCAAACACATTCAATACGATTGAGGTCTGGACTCTAGGGTGGTCAGTGCAGTGTTCTGGGAACACCAACAGCTACTTTGTTTGATTTGGACAGTTTTTTTTTTCACATTTTCTCCTCTCTCAAAGATGAAAGCTTCAAGTATTGTTTATCTGATGGTGTGTCGGGTCTTACACGATTGTTAAAAGTCACATTTCTTTGATATTGTTTAATAATTGTGTGAACTCCACTTTTGGAACGTCCTTTTTTTTACTATATGTCTTTTGACTTTTGCCATCCTTGTGCAAGTGGATTATCTTATGTCTAATTTCCTCTCAAATATCTCCTGAAAATGAATAATATGTACTTAATAGACATTTTGACTGAATATATAAAATAAATAGGGTGGCCTCTGACATTTGCTGAGTACTGTATAACATAAATAAAGACATTTGAAGTAGTATTTTTAGGCTTTAATTGCTGCAGATGTGTCCTCATACCTCTCCCTGTAATTTCACATTAAAGTGACTTCTAAAAGTACTTGTTTGATTATTTTCACAGAAATATGGATCCATTGCTCCAAGGTATGGATCACTGAAAACTTTGCACTTGCAGCTGGATTTGAACGACAGTGCCTATACTAATGCTGTAACAAGACCTTGCTTAAGTGTGGCTTTTTTTTTAATTTGCTTTGTTTTTGCTTTTTTCTTTGTGGTGACAGTTTTAATATCAGTGAGTAAAAAATGGCCTTATTTTGCTGCTATTCTTTAAACAGCTTTGGCTTGTATCATCTGAATCATCTGCAACAGCATTCCATGGTGTTAGTAGTATTTGAAAGTCATCTATAACTCTTAATTATTCTAGTGACAGTTGTTATACAATCTAGCCATCACATACTGCTCCAGCAGAATGAAAGCAACCAGATTCTGCTCTAATACTTTCCAAATGACACCACGGAACATGTGACAGCTGGCTTCGACATTCCTCTGATGATTAGGGATTGTATGGTGGGGTTGCTCAGCATGGGAAGCTCAAGCTTTCTGTGACATTGCAGGTTTAGAGAGAGCCAGCAGAGGGAACAGAGGAAGGAGAGGACCTACAGCTCTATCAGCTTCAACCCAGGCTTCAATCACAGTGACATCAAAATCGCTGTATGGAAGCGATTACACAGGAGAGTTCTACCAGGTAAAGAGAGTTCAGTCACTGACAGAAATCATAGCACGTAGTACAGAACTGACCCGGTCCATGTCCGTGCTTTACAGATTCATGTAGTTTGTAGACTTTGTTAAGAAAAAAAAAAGAAGATTGGTTAAAATCAACTTGAACAAATTTACAAATGCAGTGCATAGCGAAACTATTAAACACTCAAAAGTTATAGACATTTTCTATATGCTGCTTATGGATGTTTTTTTCCACTGAGTTTTATTATGAACTCATATGCTTTAACACTAAATCTTTTCTTTCTTATTTTTTGGTTATACTAAATATTGATGTTTGGGGTTTGAATGGGAATTCGCACATTTAAATTTTTCCTTTTTGTTAAAATCTCAGCAAACATGTAGTGTTCACAAGTAAAAACACTCATTACGCTGCAAAAAATAATATCTTAACAAGTGAAAACTTCTTAAATGTATTCAATAAATCTAATATTTCTGATTATGAGACTCCTGTAAGAATATTATTAGATTATTCCACCTGTTTCTTGTACATTTTTACTTGTTTTAAGTGATTTTATCTAGTGAAAGGGTCTTATTCCATTGGCAGATTAGTTTATTTGTTTTGAGAAATAATGAAGAAAATTTTGCTTATTTTAAGAAATAATGCTTAAAACAAGTAAAATGATCTGCCAATGGAACTTTCACTACTTAAAAACAAGTAAAATATGTCTAGAAATAAGCTAAACAGTCTCACAATATTCTTTTGACAGTCTCATAATGAGAAATAGTAGATATATTGACTATGTTTAAGATGTTTACCCTTCCTAAAGTATACTTTTTTGCAATGTATAAAACTGTAGGTAATTATTGTTTGTAATTCAGGGAAATGCTGAAAAATTTGAAGTTAAAAGAACTTTGAATGCTTTTGCAAGTCACTACAGTCTGTATGCTTGTGCGGATACATAGACTCACTCTGCCCATTTCTGCAGCCCCTGAGTGTCTGAAGTTCGACCCTCTCACAGCTCATCCCATGCTGCAACTCAACGAGGACCTCACAAGTGTGGAGTGTGGTGTCATCGTCAACCGACTGCCCAATAATCCAGAGAGGTTCAGCTACAGCTACTGTGTGCTGGCCAGCCGCGGCTTCTCTTCAGGCAAGCATTACTGGGAGGTCCGGGTGGGGGAAAAGCCAAAGTGGCGGCTCGGCCTAATCAAAGGTACCACATCCCGCAAGAGCAAGCTGCCCAAGAGCCCCGAGGGTGGAGTGTGGCTGATTGGGTTGAAGGAGGGCAGGCTGTACGAGGCTTTCGCTAGCCCACGGGTCTGTCTGCCTCTCACAACCCAGCCCCGGCGCCTGGGCATCTTCCTGGACTATGAGAGAGGAGAGGTGACGTTCTACAATGCGGACAGTCCGGACGAGCTGGGTTTTATCTATTCCTATCAGGCTGAGCTGCAGGGCAAAGTGTACCCACTGTTTGACGTATGCTGGCATGAGCGCAGTGCCAACAAGCTGCCAATCTCCCTGCCCCAGCCACTTCCTGACGTGTGACCTAACTCCAGTCAGCTTGTAAAATCTCCAGCAACCTTCAAAAATAGATGCTTCAAGATGCTTTTCTTCCGTCAATCGTTTTTACAGCTGTCTTATATGTGCCTTATATGTGACTTGCATTATTTGCTATTGTGATTGTCTTGTCTTTATTGTATAATTCTAGATGAGTTCTACTTTGCAAGACTCTTGCTGTGCCTTGTAGCCTTTTGTCTTGCACTGGAGGATCCTCTTTAACTATCTTCATTCTTCCTGAAATGGAAACATAGTCGTCTGCCACATGAATAATTTTAATGTAAATGCCTAAGCAGAGATGGGGAAAGAAGGAGAGCAGTGATGAACATGCAAACCCTTCATGAGCTTTCTTTCAGCCCTCTTCCACTCTACCAGATTCAGACTGGCCTTCACCCAGTTTGGCTCAAGAACTGTTTTATAGCTTCTTTTTTTGATTTACACTTCCAGTGTATGTAAATTTAATTATCATCAGTTTATCAGTGTAGCACATCAAAACACGCTGACTGGTCAGACTAAATACTTGGTCAAATGAATCTCAGGGCTGGGTATATTTTGATACTGTTACCAATATTGATACCTTGACTCTGATACTGATTCCTGAATGATACTTTTTTCAGTCACTTTCATAAATTACTAACCAAATCCGGGAGTGGCTTAAACCAGAAATGAGTGTGAGATGCTACAATTGGGTATATCTACTGAACTCAATGGATTGCCAACTAACTAAGAAGTGCTGAGGTAAATGACGTGTATATGCAAGGTAGACAGCTGATCAACAATCTAGATTTCAAAACAAGCATGTTTACTGGCTCACAGATGCTGATAAGACTGAATATTTAGGCACTGAAATTTAGTGTTGAAGCACATGGAAATTTTTGATACTAGGTAGTATTGAAGAAGTTCAATCAGTACCATAAAAGTTCAAAATTTCAGTAGCCAGCCCTGAGTCCAAATGAGAATTACAGAGCAATAAAGTGTCAAGCACAAAGTGGATAAATGTGTGTTGCATTCTAAAAACCACAGTTTTGAAGCCTGTTGACACCAGTATTTTGTATATTTACAGCACAAGCAGGTCTCCTTAAGATTAGTTGACAGCTTGACACAAGCTCGAGGCAAGTGTGTGATGATTTAAGCGTCAAGCTTGCACAATGCTAATTGCTGGGCTGTACACTTCCGCTACTTGTTATCTACATTAGCCTTTTGTCTCCGTTGCAAAACTAAAAAAAACACACTTTGGTCATCAAACATATAATTGCTGATTCACTAAATTTGAGTTGAGGGGGAAATTGTATAAATCTGATTTAACAACAGAATTGTGACTCTGTCAGTGCATTTGGCATGAAACCAAAAGAGTTTGCTGGAGCTATTTTATCTACATTTTAAGCTGTAATTGATTGATTTATACAGTGGTTGTTTGTTGATATAATAAACAAAAGAAATCAAACATTCATGTAACAGCCACTGATGAAGCGGATGGGATGAGCCATACATGGACGTATCCTCAGTGCTAAATATTTATAAACAACAGCACCTCAAAAATGTTCTGTTGATACAGATAAAAGAAGGTCGCAGAGTATGCTGGTTAATTTAGACTGAAGTCTAGCTAAGACATTTGAATTATTGTTGTAATTTGTTATTATGTGATTTTGTCTCCTTTCATTGCATTAAAGTAAGGCTGAAAATCATTGTGGGATCATTTGTGGTAAACTGACCTGGGGAAAACACCATTTGTCCTCCAGCCAGAGATTGCAGACAGCCAGTGTAGTTTATTGCAATCTCTACATCAGGCAAGGACGCTTCTGTGAATGGTAGGAAGGTAATGCAGGAGATGACCGTTGACTTGATTGATGACTTCCAGGTTGTCTAACATCACACATGGATATACATTTGTAATTTTATTCCAGTAACTGAAAGATGGTTGAAGTTCTTGGAAAATGTGAAAGTGTGAATTGGGAGTGATGTAATTTAATAAGACACAGGGTGAACTACCTCTTGGCCACAAGGTGGCAGTGGCGTTATTTATGCACCTGTGTAAAGGGAACCAGCCATCACTGTGTACCTAAACAGAAATTAGTGTTGTCTGCAGATTAGACAGTAACCAACTGATAAGACCAGAATTCAGCTGGTTTCTAAAAGGCAAGGTAAACAAGTAAACAAGTTGTCCTATGTGTCCCTTGAGACAATTCACAGAGGAACAAGACTTGTATTTGATTTGCACTGTTAATTTATAGCTCTCTGTCAGCCTTGAGTGCTTTGCTCCTTTTTCAATAATAGATCTCTCAATGCCAGGAGGCTGAATTATTGACTGCATGGCAGTTTATGTGCTTTGGGTTTTTGGTCCCAGGCCAGCACGAAGACTTTTGCTTCACCTCCATTTTATTTATAGCACCAGAAAACACAGTGGTTGAGTAAAACAAACATCCCTCAGCCAGGCTCAGGCTCAGAATGATTTGCCTACTTATGACGCGTGTCCTGCCCCCAGCTGAAATGTAAGGGAAATGCGTCTCATATCCATATACATGATGTCCAAAAGTTTGTAGACATCTCCTTAACATTTTTTCTGAAAAAAAGAAAAGGCTATGGATAGGGAGCTTACTTTGCTGTAGTAATAATGTCTACTCTTCTGTGAAGGCTTTACACTAGATGTGTAGTCAATTTAGTTGAGAATGTATTTGTATAGCGCTTTTTACAACAGACGTTGTCACAACGTAGCTTTTATAGAAAATCTGGGTCCAAGCCCAGTGAGCAAGACAAGGGGGACAGCAGCAAGGAGAAACTCCCTAACAGCAAGAGGAAGAAACCTTAAGAGGAGCCAAGACTCAAAAGTAGAACCAATCCTCCTTTGGTCAACACTGGATAGCAAAACAATAAATAACATGAGCGATATGAAAAGAAGAAGAATTTTACAATGAATGTGCATGAATACTGTGAGGTCTACATTGCTATGAGGATTTGCTTGGTGTTGATTGGCTAATTAAGTGGATAGAGGATGTTCCACTGCTCTAAAGCCCTACGCTGGGGAGCTTCTTCTAGCCAACACTTGAAACTGGTCATGGTGAATTTTTGCTTATGCGCAGCTGCTCCAGTGTGTCCTATTCCATTGACAATGCTTTTCTATGCAGATTATACAAGGTTTGTGTGCAATTAAACACCTGTGTCAGCAATAAGTACATCTTAAACTAGCCAAATTTACTAATTTGCAGGAGCTCTCTGGATACATTTGGACATGTAGTTGACACTTCTCATGTATTTAGTATTCTCTGTCTACTTGTTTACTCCACCCGTCTGTGACTTTGAAATGCAAAACCTGCATGTTAGAATCACCAAAGCAGCTGCCACTTAGATATTCAGCTTATCCTCTTATCTGCTTGCTGCTAGGATCAGAACTGGAGCTTCCCACGAGATGAGTAAATGAGGCATTAAAGAAAAAAATGAGTCAACCCTCTGAAACGTTTAGAGAAACACAAACAAGTGCACACATGTACACTATTACCTCAATGGGCAGTTTTCCAGCAGTATTAGGTCCATGTGAATCACATAAGGGGATGGAGGGGGCAGTTGGATGAAAGGGAATAGCAAATACAGAGCAGCTCAGTGAGATGTTCCAAATGAAACACCAATCAATATATTAACAGAATGAACGAGAGCTTCCCCCATCCCTCCAGAGCACACATCACCCTCCCCCTCCACTCATCCTCTCTGTGGGAAGAAAGGATCACTGGCCTCCAACAGGCTGGAGGAGTTGCTATGGCAATACTATGACAACGCCTCAACCCATCTCCTTGGTAATACTATGACCGGTGCCGAGCGTGAAAGTTTCAAAGCATAATGACATGGAAACAAACATTACATCACCGCTGTCACATCAAGGCCTTATAATTCAATTGTTTTTGGTTTATTTTTTTCTACACTGTTGGAAAGAAACAGCTTGCCTTCATATTGTGTGTATTGTTTTTTCATGAGGAATGGACAGCTGGACCAATAGAAATGACCAATTCAATTTACTTAGAAGAAAATCTAATCAAGCATCCTGACCATAAGCAAAAGGTGAACTGTTCATGGCTGGGTGAGTTACAACTATGACACCAATATTTGTTCAGAAATCAAGGGTATTAATAGAGAATGCATTCCTTTTTTGCTGGAGTAACTCTTCTGAGAAGGCTTACACTAGATATTGGACCATTGCTCTGAGGATTTAATTGCATTCACAAGAGCATTAGTGAGGTCAGGGACTGACCAGTTCTGAATCACAAACATCACTCTAGCTCATCTCAGAAGTCGTAGATGATGCTCCATCACTCTAGAGAATGAAGTTCCACTGCTCAACAGCTCAATGCTGGCATGCTTTACACCTCTAGCTATCAATTGGCAATGAGCATGTTGACCTTAGGCTCATGTGTGGCTGATCTAGATCAGTGGTTCCCAGCCCTGGTCCCGGAGGACCCCTTGCCCTGTGCATTTTCCTGCCAAAACACACCCACTTCAACTCAGGAAGGGCTGACCAGTTGGATCAAGTGTGTTGAGCGCAGGGCAAACACTAAAATGTGCAGGGCAGGGGGTCCTCCAGGACCAGGGCATCCCATTCTATTGGTAATACTTTTCTATGGGGATTATAAGTTCTATGCACAACTATACAGTAATTGAATTCACTAATTAGACAGAGTGTCTACTACTTTTTGATGTATATGTGTTTTGTTACCAGTTTTGGTTCTTTTCAGCCTTTTTCAGTCCTACTGTGCTGCTACAACAGTGTCGCAAAGGCAGTGTTAACCAGAAATACAACCATAAAATAAAATAAAATCCAATGACCGTTGACAGCTTCTGACTGACCTAAGCTGCCCATCTGTTCTCAGGAATATGTATGCTCTGTTCCTTTGTGACATTGTTAAGGCAAGTCTTGCAATTTACTACCAGACTGGCTGCCTGCAGATTTGATTCAGCACCATGCTAGAACTGAGGAAAGATGACAGTAAAAACGTGGAATCCCGAAAGACTGAGTAACCCTGTGGGGCTTTCTTTGAGGACACTGAGTCAGAAATCTGCCCTCATCTGCACTACAGCGCATCTGAAAAGCGCACTCCTATCTCTCTGTTGATTTCTGATGTGATAAAAATCAAAGCATTTCTGTCTATCACTGGTTTCATAAGCTATGAAAGGAAGAATGATGAAACAAGTGGGTAATAGTAAATACCGTTTGGATTAACTAACCATTGATTTGACATCTAATAGCATACCAGCGCTGCTCATCCATCCATTTATTCAGACTTGTGGATAATTCAGCCATTGAAGAGCTGCTACAAAAGAATTCATGTAACAAGAGAACTCAGATACAAATAATCTGTTGTTTTGACAAGATGCAGCTGCAGCCCCGGTCTTGAACTCAGACACAGAGCTAAACCCACTAGATGATCAAAATCCCACAAGATGATCAATCAGTAGACAAAAAGGTACTTGTTTTTATGTAATGGTTACACAATTTTGGCATATTAACCCTCCTGTTTTCCTCAAATTTACTAACATCTTTTATCCTTGGGGTCAATTCGAGCCCAGCAATTAAAGCCTCCAGGAAATACTAAGTTCTGGTGGGAATTCTGTTTTCCCCTCTCTTGTGTCATGTGAACTATTAGTGGTTCATGCACTAATGCAGGTGTGGTTATGTTAGGTTAGAGCCCTAAAGTAGAGGGAAGTTTTTGAAGATTATAAAATTGCATGTTATAGTGACCTCTATATGATCCAAAGCAACCAAACTGAACCCAAGGGACACAGATGTGTGCAAAATGTGTACAGGACATTGAAAATATATCATGTTAATTTTATTTACCCAGTTTTCACAATTAAGTTAGGAGAATTAATTAAATATGAAGCAAGAAAATGCTGTCAATCTTTTATTTAGAGATGTTAAACACTGAATGGGGTCAAATTGACCTCAAAGACATCAGGAAGGTTAATACTAATTATAGTAATTGATCAAAATATTAAAATGTATAGGCCTAGATTTACCATCCAGCTTTTGGTGAACTAAATATTGACTTTTTAATTATTCTGTGCATAAAAAGACACAAGCAACATCTGTACAACAAGGATAGTATGGGCCAGTTTCCCAGACCCAGATTAAGCCTAGACCAACACTAAAAAGAATGGTTTCAATGGTTATTTAACATTGCACTGCAATTTAGTCCAAGACTAGTCTTAATCTATGTTCTGAAAACCAGCCCTGTAGCTTGCATATCAAACAATGGGTTTTACTCAGATTGATAAAAAGTCCTCTTGCAGCTTTTGTTGTATTGATTTGTTATTTAATATCTAGTCTATTTATCATCAGATACAAAGTCTTTTGACTTATGACTATGTGCTTACAAATGTGAACAAAAAATTATGTAAATCGTTGTTGGCAATTACAGCTTTGAGATGTCTACAGTATTTTGGCCCGCTCCTCTTGGCAAACAATCTTCCCTTCCCCAAGGGCCTCTCTGAAGGACAAGCAATTTCAAAATCCTCCATAAATTTTTAATGGGATTCAAGTCAAGCAATCAGCTAGGCAATGCAAGCACCTTTATATTCTTTCTTAGAAACCAGTCTTGAATGCTTTTGGCTGCAAATAATAACATCTTCTTCCTGGGTTCATGGCCAATGAAGTTAAATTCTTCTCTTAATATTTGGTACA